CAGCACACAAGATGCGCACAATAACGAAGTGTTGCAACTCACTCGCAACGATTTTCTTTTACTCGCCGTCGAACAACAGTGGTTAAACGACAACGTGATCAACTTTTATCTCAACCTGGTAGCATTAGACAACTGTTGTAGAATACAGAATACAGCACGCAGAATGCGACGCGGATAATGAGATAGTCGTTAGAGAAGGAAACGGTCGCATTCCCAGAGTATCAGTGTTGAGCTCGTTTTTTTTGGTATAACTTTTCGATAATGACATGAGATATAGAGGCCGAGAGGTAGAACGCTAGTATTGGATGTAATTATAAGTGACATGGATCTGATTATTGCTCCTTTCCATATCGCACACCAGGACCACTGGACCTTGGTCGTGGCTGACTTAAGAAGGAGAAAATTCAAATTTTACGACCCCCTCGACCCCGACAAGGAGTTCTCGTTAAAAGTGACCGGCGGGTTTTTAAAGTTTTTATTCGAAAGATCGAAAGTGCAAGGCAAAGAGGTGGACACGAGACCATTCAATCACATATGGAATGTAGAGGGCATTCCAAAGCAACATGACACGAACGAATGTGGGGTCTTTGTACTCACGTACGTGTCACTTTTGGCACGGGGCCAACTTCCGCCTTTCTGTTTCACCGCAGATGACATACCCGCGATACGTCGTCGGATGGCATTGGACCTAGTGGCTCGTGAGTAGTGCGTATGTGATATTCTATAGTATGATTGCGAAGGGGGCGGACTGGCACAAGTTGGCGCTTGACAAAAAACAATGTATATAAGGTGCTAATTATTCCTCGGTGCACTGTGTCACTTGCCCTTGCATGGTACCTTACACCTTACACCTTACCCCATACACCTTACACCTTACCCCCCTACACCTTACACCTTACCCCTTACACCTTACCCCTTACACCTTACCCCTTACACCTTACCCCTTAAACCTTACCCCTTATACCTTACCCCTTTTCCCTCACACTAGAACGCCCATTTGTAATGGTTTTTGCACTTCAATCATCTCAAAAATGACAATTTCAATTTCGTTCAAAAAATATAAAATATTCGTTTTGACTAAATCGCTGTTTTGTTTTGTTTTCCTTTGTCGATCCGCCGTCCTTCGCCACTCATACTTCCCTCTCTTACTGTCACTTCGAATTTCAGAAGTCTTTGATTTCCCGCCGATTATTTTGCCACAACTTGCAGGAATTGCCTGCTGATTGTGGTAACCCCCTTCCCTCCCGTCAATCGTTCGCTCAAATGACGGCAATCTCTAGGCTTCCACTCCGAATTCCAAAGTTTTTACTTTCCCGCCGATTATTTTTCCAAGACTCGAACGGATTTCCCGTTGGTTACGATAACTCCCTCTTCCTCACGAGTGCTTCCGCTTCCCCCTTCCATCCCTCTTTTCTCCCAATCGCAGCGCCTCTCTACCATCTCTCCGAATTTCAAGAAACTTCAAGTTCCCGCACTCCGAGCCTATTGCAACCGTCAGCCAGCTCCCTGCACTCGCCCCCTCCCTCCTTCTCTTCCTATGCAGTTGGGCGCCAGCCTCCAGGTTCCCGCCATTTTGCGCTCGCAAGTGGCTTGCTCGCTCTCGGCTCCTGGTGCCCTTTTTTTTTTTTTTTTTCCAGAACCTCTCAGTTCTGGCCCCTGCCATTCTGGGGAGCAACAGTCCGGTTCCTATTCCCCCGGCATTGACGGTTATCAAGGACCGACCCACGCGCGCTCCTTCTGAACTGTCTCACTGCCTTCTTGACCTTTCCTTAAAACCCTTCTTCCTTGCTGATCTCTTCTCCTCCTCCTTCTTGAGGATCGCTCTCAGATATTTTACTCGGGCAGCCTGGTACTACCCGATCGTCGTTAGTCGACGCAAGGGTCTGGCCAGCTCGCCCCTCGTGCCTCCCGTAACCAGTGGATCACCGACTTCGATGACTAGTCCTTACGTTGGTCGACTCCAAAGCCGAACTCAACATCGCACCCCTCTGAGCCGTTTATACCTCGATCAGCTTGCAGAAAGCCACTGCAGCGAACACATAGCGACCGATCCACACTCATCATATTGGTCACACCACATTCGCCATGGTCATACCGAAGCCCATGTGCCTCGAGGTGACTGTACCGAGGGCAATCTCTCCGTATTTGCCATCGATCAGCTCATGACACAGAAGCGCCCAATGGCGAAGCTCGCCACCCATATTCATATCTCGTAGTCTCACACCCAGACCCAAAACATTCCTTTGTGGGTGACCCAATAGCTGCCCATCGGCCTGCCTGCTCTCAAGATCCTCGTGGCTCTGTCGAAGGTTTACCATTGTTTACTCCTTCTCGAGCACCACCGTAAAAATTTCAACTCCCTCCTCTGCACTTGAACAAATCAAAACCGATTGTTGCCTCGACCACATGATCGTGTTGGCTCTCATCCACAAGGAGCACCATGTTTAAGGACCGACCACCTTCTCGTAACCACCACATCATGACGTTTTTGTCTGGGATCGGGGTGGATTCCACTCCGAGGTTTCCACATCGCACCGACGTAACTGGGCTCCGTCGCGGCCCCCCGGTCCATCCGTACGAACCCCTTTCCTGTACCCCATCTTCTGGGTCTCCTACCCTTAGCCTCAATGCCGGCGCCCTTCATTGTTAGGCCTGATTTTTCCTCCAAAAATCCTGATTTTCAGTCCTCGTTCGGCCCCGCTTGTGACCTCGCATCAACCGCCTTGATTCCTGCTTGCCCGAGGGCTGACATAGGCAAAAAAAAAAACAAGACCCCTCAAAAAAAACCCTCAGCCACACACACATTCATGAAAACATGCAAAAGCAAACGGAACATGCAAAGATAAAACAACGACCATTTCGTCAAAATTGACAATTTTTACTTTTTGAACGAAATTGAAACCCAAGTTTTTTGGCCGAAAACTCGTCAAATTTTGCTGTTCCTCAGGCTCCAGCGTTTTACAAACGCAGGACCCTCAGGAACAACAAATTTTGACGAGTTTTCGACCAAAAAACTTGGGTTTCAATTTTGTTCAAAAAATAAAAGATGTCCATTTTGACGAAATGGCAGTTAAACCATTTGTTTGGGGAAGCGACCCTTCGGCTGGTAGACAGCAGCCTGACAACGTTACAACCCAGAATCTGGTTCGTGGTGGGACCCTATTGGCTGGATCCTGGTGGGACCCTATTGGCTGAAAGTTGGAAGCACAACTGTTTTTGTTTTTCCTTCTTTTTCTTTCTTTCAGACATCACTCGTCGGACTTGTCCCATAGCCGGCGCTCCAAGGATGAGTCGAACAGAGACCCTGAAAATCCTAAGTTTTTCCAAGGACTTCGTCCTCGGGCCTGAGGGCGCCCCAGGGAGTGTCTAACAAGGCCATTATCCCGGTCTGCGAGCATTAGTGTGGTGTCTTGGAGTGGTCATCTTTATTATTAAACCACCAGTACTTGGCCCAGTTATGGGCCGTGGAAAAAAATAGAGTAGAAACGTTTCTAGTTGGATGAATTTGGGCGCTCCTGTAGTGGCCCGTACGTTTCCTAAAATCGCGTAGCGTTAACGCTACGGGACCTTAGGAAGTACTGGTGGTTTAATGATTGTACTAACAACTTTCAATATTTCCTCCAATGATATGTAGTTGGGTGCCCAAAAATTCACTAACGTGTAGGGCATTTTAAGCGATGCTATGGGTTTTCTACAGGGGTATCGATCCACTCTGACAACTTGTAAATGAGAGACCAGCAGAGTCAAAAAATTTGCAATGATCAAGTCCTTCCAGAGGACTAGAACTCAAATGTGCACTGTGTCCATATGGATGCGCTAAAATGCCGATTGCCTCAGATGGCCGCCACTGTTTGTGGCTCGGTCAAACAACTTTCTTTTTGGGGAAACTGCTCCGGAGTCACCTTTTCTTTTCTTTTCTTTTTTTTTTTTTTTTTTTTTTTTTTTTTTTGAAGGGGTATCACTAACTTGTGTAGAGGACTGCTCCGGGGAAACTG